AAAAAATATTCTAATTTCAGACAGCTTTAAGAAAAAAATGATGGGTTGGTGGGAGGGTCTATGAGGAGTCGGGGCAGGGAAAAATTGTAATCAGAATATATTGTGTGGAAAAATTTCAATTAAACAAACAATGAAAGATTTCCTAGAGACAAGAATAAGAATATGTTACTAGCAAATGCTTAGATAGTCAAAAGCTTATGTTACCACATAAAATGCTTGAATTTTTTTTAAATTTAAGAATAAAAATAACTTACCTATAGGATATCCCAATGCAAAGTCATTACTTTGTGTAGCAAAAATAGGGAATAGTCCAGCTTTGCTAAATCGGCTCTCGGGACTGGCAACCAGTAAGGTCAATATGCACACAGTGAAAAACACAGAGGCTTTGCCAATTAAGATACTATATAGGAAAGCCCAATCCACATTGGAAAAATTAAGTACAACCATATTTTTGAATAATAGAGCTGGCAGGGCAAATCTGGAGACAAAGTTTCCCAGGCCTTTGGCCTGTGTCGAGGTGATGACATTGGCCCTCCCTGCTATGTAGCCACAAAGGACTATGCCAAAGCATTCCAGCAAGGCTGGGAAAAGCCTTGTGATTGACATTGAAGGTGGGTCGTTGGTGGAATTGAATCCATGAGCTACTGGTGCAGACAGAGTCTCGTTAATGGCAAGGGTTGAGTTCTCTGCTGAAAAATGAGAATCCATTTTCTCTCTCCTTTCACCTCCAACTAGGTCTCTGGGGGAAAAAAAGGAAGAAAAGAAAAAATTCAGTGCTACAACTAACCAGAGTAGAGAATGAAATGGAACGCTGCAAACCTGGACTTATTTACATATTAAATGGCCAAATAAATGTCCACACTCTCTTCAAAGTCCACGGCGGGGGCAGGGAGGGGGGGAAGACAAGAGAAAAGAGGTAGGGGAGGTACTTCACTCTCAAAGGTAGGACAGCTCAAAATATTCCTGTTACCATTCTGCTTTTCAGTGTCAGACATGAGTAAAGCAAGACCCACAAATGTTACAGCAGCAGTGATGCCCTGTGGGTCCCTCTGGGCATCCACAATCCACCTCCATCTAGTGGCCAAGAGGAGCAGGCTCAGTGTCTACAAAGGACTGACTTGCACCCAGAGTCTCTAGAAACTTCGGAAGGTCTCTCGGGTAGATGAACCAGAAGCCCCTTCTAACCTGTGGTGATACTTGAGCCTAAGGGAGACTCATAGCGGGGCAGCACTTACCAACTTGAACCCGAAACTTAACGTTTTATGCTTCACTTTATCACCTGTGAAGTGGCAATATCAGGAGAGGTCTTTGGCTCTAATCACACCCGGCACACGGCAATCGCTTAACCAAAGCTGAATATCACTTTCGGTAGAGTACGAGGGAACCTTTGAGAGAGAAAGTGGTTTTAAGAGGTCAGTCCACCAGCTTCCCCTTAGTTCGTTTTACATAAGCACACACACACTGGCCTACAGTTCCTCAGGGCCACAGGGGGCTTTACACAGGTAGCTCACTCTAAAATGTTCTCTGACATGTGCACTGCCCACATAATGAGCACTTACCCACTCTCAAACTCAATCGTACCAATCAGGAATCATTTCGTCGGGTGAGGTGTCTTTAATAACAGAGTTAGGCATAATTTTTTCTCAAATAAAATCACGGTCCTTCCCTTAGTCTGCTTTTCTCGGCTTGTTTATCCCAATGCCTTGCAATGACTGTCTCCTTTACCAAACTTGAAATGTCACAGAAGCGAAGACACACTTTCGTGTCCCTAATATCTGGCACATAGGAAGCACCGGGGGAGGGGCTAGATTCATTAAAATTTTCACTAAATTCTTTAAATAACAACCTGTTCTTACATCAACCTCTTCTCTCATTGCCAGTTCTCTCTTGGGTACCATCTAGTCCGTGAGTGAACAATCTCTCTTTCTACATGATAAATGCTTTTCACAGCAGTAACAGCCGGAACACAGCCTGTTTCCTAAAGCCTTATAAAGATGCTCGTGAGGTTTTTAAGGACCAACTTCTGTGGGCTAAGGTGGCAGCTGATAGCCTCCCCTCCTCTTGCTGCCAGAGACACAGTGAGCACAAACTTTAGATAATTCTCAGATGACTCGTTTTTTTTTCTAGTAATTTGGAATTAATGTGATGGTAATTGCCAATTTCTAAGTGATTTTTTTAGGTTTACCTTGTAAAGACAGGGGAAAATCTGGTGTCTCCTGCAACTTACAAAGCTTGGCTAAATTCTTGAACACCCACATCACATTCAAAATACTGGGGTGACAGATCAAAGATCATCAATTGATACCCGGGTTGTGTAAGAGAATATTTCCTGTGCTGCTCCCTATAAGCCAAACCCTTTGAAAAACCTTATATTTCATTGGGACTAAGACAAGTATTTCTTTTTTTTTCTGCCAGGATTAAACAAGAGAGATCAATAGAAACCAATCCTACAATGTTCACCAAATTTTGAGTTTTACCAAATTATACTGATTGGTACAGGGAGGTTCTGGTTGGTAAACACAGCCAGATATTGGTTGGTACACATAGAGAAGTTCTAGTTTGTACATATGCCAGGTTCTGGTTGGGACACATAGTCAGATTCTGGCTGGTACACATGCCAGGTTCTGGTTGGTACACATAGCCAGGTATTGGTTGGGACATATAGACAGATTCTGGTTGTTACACATGGTCACCCTTGAAGAATTTGATCAGCAATCAGATTTGAGTATTAGACATTGGAGCCCTTAAGAAATGTGTACTTGCAAAGGTAGTGGGAAAAGAGGTGAC